ATGTTAACCAAAATGTAATTTATAGTAAGCTGGTGACACCCCTAAAATTTGCAACGCCTGAAAAAGGCCGTTAAGCTGTGCCTGTTATTTCATAAGACCTGTATGTATTACCTTAACATGCAAATAAAGAGTTTGAGTTTGAGTTTGAGTTTGAGATTCTCTCGGTCGTGGAGACAGCCCCTAAAGGAGGCCATACACATTAGGTTCTCATTAACGTTGTTTCAAGATGTCTATGTCTGCCTTTTTTCAACGTCCTTGGCTGCATAGGTACCTACTTACTTTAGATTATGCTTTATTTATTTTTATTTTACGAAAACGAGTTACAGTAATAATTAAGTATTATGCGCATTGTGCGACTCTGCCCATCCTGTGAGGGAACAATTGTAGTAATACTATTTTAGTCACGGAAAAAAATACCTTTTGTTCTTAGATAAATAAAAGGACAACAATGAAATAATAATTAACCCGTATATAATTAAAATATAATTTAATTAATTCAATAAAAGCATTGCAACTTCTGAGTCATACAAAAATTGTACAAATATTATCACATAATAATTTTAATATCAACCTAACTACTTACATAATATTCACCGAAATATAGTTTGGCTGCGAATATGCAAACGATGCACCGTTGTCTGATTTGTGAGCCGTTACATCTTGATGTACAAAATAGTTAGAAAGGTAATCATTTAGTCTAAAATACAATAGATAAATTACATATACTTGTAATACAGACAAACATCAATTAGGCCATAATTCAAACCCACACTTTTTTCATTCGTAATTATTTATTAATTGCTTACTTCAGTGGATAAGTCTACCTATCCTATCCGAAAATGGAATTCAAATAAATACTCATTAAGTATGTTCAATCAAAAATATAAAACCATTTCGTATTTTTTACAAATTTCCGTTTTAAGTCACCGCAAACATGGAATGCGCCTGCGATTCTACAACGACTTGCTAAGTGAAAAAAATACAGGAAACTTTATTGTCAATTGTAGATTTCTACAATGAGAACTAATAGTATTTGCAATCAAATCACAATCAATAATGATGCACTATAAATTAAAATCTTGAGATGACGCACGACTTGAGACGCATGTCATAAACTCAATATTTCTCGTTAACCATTTACTATCAATCATACCATTTGTCATCATCAGTCTAATCTTGAGAATATTGTCTTCCCTGATAATTACTTAATTTAGTACTCCATTAGGAAATTTTAGAGGCGACATAGGTTTTACTCGGGGTAAGGAGTTTGATCGAGGAGATCGGGGAGAAAGGGGAGATCTTGAACACCGTACAGCCGGATACGGCCTAGGCCTAAGTTCTTCCGCACTTCGAAATGTGTTCCGAGCTACCCGTCGCCGATAAAGTGACGTTACTGTCGATTCTTGCAGCAAACATCTGAAAAAATAGCGTAGTGGTTCTAATTATATTTATCAACTACAAAGACTTAAAGACAAACCTACACATCTCACCATATTGGAGTAATGCATGCCTAAAATATTATATTACTTTACTTTGCTTGTAGATAAAAAAGATTTTGTGAAAGGTTATTATTTTAATTAATGGCCCACTTTTCTAATTCTGACAGTTGTTGTTTAGGGGTTGAGGCAGCAACGGGACGAGCACGTCCTAATTTTGCGCGCGTTGACTGTAGCATTTGTTGAGTCACTAACGGCTGCTGACCTTGTTTCGGACCAGGTTTTGCTCGCACCGGATTATCCTAGAACAATTAACAAAAATATTTTTTTACGTTTTTATTAACAATTAAGAGTAATGCTCTATTTGGATCAAACATATTGCATTAATTTGAGTGGATTCAGAGTGAGACTGGAGTAAACGGGGCGAAAGGCGTAGTGTTATTTTTTGCGTGCAACTTTAACTTAGTTTTCAGGTAAAGCCCGAGGAAGTTGGTGTCCAGGTGACAATTGCTGTTCTAACTAGATCTCCAGCCAATCAGATGCTGGAATAAGCAGTTTTAGAATTCCATTGACCGGTGTAACGTACCTTTGTCTTTCTCAGTTTGACATTAGCGATGTCTTGAGGTGTAATAGCGAGGCGTTGTCCAACTATTCTAGGTAGTGCAGAACCGCACCTGGGTATGGTATGAGACCGGACAGGTAATTTGGAGACAGGGGCAGGTGGAGGCGGTGGCGGTGGCGGCGGTGGTGGTGGAGGCGGCGGCGGTGGCGGTGGAAGGTGCTTTTTCGGTGTACTTTCGTGTTTCCTAAAAAACACAGTCTAGTAGATACCTCATAGTTGTTTTGCAACTTAGTACTTATTGCAGTTGCGTGCAGGTTAAGCACGGGCTCACGGGTTGGTTTTCCAAATTAAGCAAGCTATTTAAGTTGGTATTATTGGTTCTCGAATTTCTCTAGTGCTAAAAGGCACGTAGTCTTGATTTATTTACAAACAGTGGTAACCAGATAAACCAGCACGAATCTGTCAAAATTCATGAGATTTTCAACTTTATTACAGTACCTATACGAAAGTTAAAAGGTGTAAATGGACAGAAAAGGATATTTATATAAGATAAAGGAAGTTTTACCTGAGCTTACCCTCGAGTTGTTCAATTTTGTTCATCATTATTTTCATTCCTTCTTTTAACGTCTCATTTTCTTGGGCCAGCCGCTCTTGCTTTTTATCTACCTCTTCTAAAAATTTCCTTAACTCCCGCAACTCTTCGGTACTATCAGTAGTTTCCTGGTGAACTATCGGCTCGCGCAGTATATCGGAGTACAGACCAGTGATTGATTGATAGCCCTGAAAAAGAAAAAAGAAGAAACTGAGCTATAAATGGGCAAACTCTCACTGTATCTAAACCTGGAACACTCTGTAGAGGTATCACAAGTACGTTGCTGACCGTATTGGAAACTGTTTATAGTTTATTTTTATTCTTTATCTTCACACAACCATACCAACAGCCTAAGAATGTAAAGTTTAAAACGATTAGAGGGCTGAGTTAAGTAACTATTCAACATTTTGTCAGACTAATAGAAAAGGAACGGGAGTGACAACGCTCGATGATAGCAAGGTTACCAACTCGGTAAAAAAATACGAATATTTTGATCTTTAATTAAAAATGCAATTTCGTACAGTAAGTTATAGATGCTGGGTAGATTCTTGAGTAGGTAGGTACTTACTTTAGAACTAAGCGAGATTGCTAAGCTTACCTGTGATCACAAACTTGATTCCTAATCGAGTAAGAATAGCCAGGAATATGTTCACATACGTTAAATAGGTACGCATAAGTTTTTGTTCAATTAAATTATTCATGTTAATTAGATAAGTATTTTGTTTAACAATATTTTAGTATCAGACAGATAATACCTACAGCTACATGCTGCATGTTCTCAAATGGTTACATAAGCTTTATTTATGATAAGTTTATTTATAACTTGAACTAATTCAAGATAAAAACAAGCAATAATAACTTTACCTACTGTGCCGATTTAAGTTATTTCAAACTAATATAGTTACACACCCGGATGCCTAGATGCTAGACCTAAGTCGATTGGTAGATTATTTAAATTAAATGCTACAGATCGCATATGCGACCAGTGGCTAACGCTTTTTACCCGACGAGGGGTAGGCAGAAATACACACATCAAACATACGCATATCAAAATATCAAAGAATAGGTACATTTTACTTTATGACAGATCAATAATGAAGATACTAACTACCTTTCTCCCGATCCATGCACAAAGGTCGACGATTCTCCAAGCTTTGGGCTTGCTATTGCGGCGGTGGTTCCTCTCCTTTCGCGGCGTCCCACCTGATAACATGAACCACTCCATATCACTCAACTGCCCAGTGTCCAAAGCACATTCTATCTCTAATTCCACCTTTATGCTATTCTGTGTAAGAGCCCCCATAACTGAATAACTTTTCAAACAAGTAACATACTCCTCAACTTGGCACTTGTATACAAATAGCCCAGAAATATAAACACGAATTAATTTAACGTATTTAAAAAGCTGAACGATGATCCTCAGTCGCGTTCGACCGTTACCGCCGAACTTGAATGTAAAGTACGACGATGATGTCACTATTATATTAGCAGCTGACTGACTCGAGATGTTTGCAATAAAAAGAGTTAGGTATATTGAGATAACAAGTTCAAGTTGCTACAAGTAACCCCTACTTTGTCGTATGTAGCTTTATCATCTTTTTCTATGACGACATCATGATAATCCTAAGTAGAGTAAACCTAGATTTCTTGTCGGTACGTTCATTGCTGAATATTTCGATATTTTGAGAACTTAATAGATTATTAAGTTATGTTCTTAATCTTTACACAAACTCATCGCTCAGGTATTTAACCTACGTCTAACTAGATACCTAGATATTTACATAATTAAAACATATCGTTGGTTTAGATATCATAAATATTACACATTCCGGGTTATATTAAATCCAGGGATTTATTATTATTAGTGTTGAGTTAGGTATAAATCACTCGTTTAATAACATAACTGGTACAGCTAACTAAACTGGTAAGTACAAGTCCATTATGCCTCTACTCACCCTACTTAATATGCAATGTCGTGGCGATATAGACTTATTTTGATAAAACGAAGTTATACCCATTAGAACTACCTATTACATTAATACAAAAGGTACAAAACATTACCTGGTGTGGGATTTTCAGATGAATTATGTTTTATAAAATTATTACCCCTGTGTGATCTATGAAGGGCGTCTTTGAACAAATTTGACTCAGATTTCAAACGTCTTTTTCGAACTTTAAATGAATGGTTGCTGTTAATCGATTTAAATGATGTGTCAGAATTACTAGATAAGCAAGACGGTGGCTCCTGCTCTATTTGAGGATCAGTCAGATCAGACGTGCTTGATGAACAAGAACCTGAACATTTCTTTTTCCAAGGCTGCATTTCTTTATTTTCTCCATCACTGGAGTCGCGTCTATAACGTTTGGATCGTACGGACTGTTCTGAAGTCTCATTAGATGTTGATTCCTGTATGTTGAAGTCCTTGCTAAAGGAAAGGCTCACGTCAACAAAGCTGCAGTTAACTGGCAGAGTCACAAAAGGTTCCGTTTGAGTGGAACTGCTGGTCGAATTCCCCGAACTAGAATTGAGGTCGTCAGTGCCCATGATGCTCACAAACGGAGGTGTCTTATTAAAAGTTTTGTCTTTGTTTTCATGAGATGAAATAATATTATGATCCCATGAAGTGTTTATCGCATCGTGTTGAGAGCATTTTCTTATTACTTCTATTGAGTTATTGCTAATTTCCCTTTCTTCTGATGTATCAATGACAGCAATAGCATTTTTTTCCTCTTGTTTAAAAGACATCTTGAATTTTAATCTTTCACCCTTACGTAAACAAATACTTTTTTTGTTACATAACAGTTATAATTCACTTGCTTAGTTTGTTTAGCTTAGCATTACTTCAAATCAAAATAAGTGGTGAACGTTTGAATAAATAAGTACATCTACCCTCAATTATCTCATATAAAAAATATATTTTGAGTACTCGACAACATTTTTAAAAGAATATAAATATCAAATAACCATATTTATTAGCAATATATTAAAATTAAATAGATTTTGAAGAACACACTACAATCGTTACCAGGTTTTTCTGTATCCGAACCATATCCGAACGAATCAAAATCCGAACTTCAACGTCAAAGTCAAATAAACAAACTTTCAATGTCATTTCATTTTATAGTTGTTGGATGCTGCTCGCTTGCTTTGCCCAACAAAAAAGCGATCGATCAAACGTAAATAAGACGATATTAAACAAATAACCTAAGTATATAATTCATTAATATTAGGCAACTACACTATAAGTGCATAATAAGAAAAAATGCGTCATGTCTTTAAAAAGAAGATTGTTTACTGTGGTGTCATTGTCGTAACATTGATAATTTTACTGCATCCTGATATGAATGCTAGTCGTTCTTACGAGTATATCGAAAAAGACAATATTCTTAGTAACCTACATGAAGCAACTGCTGAGAACTTTACTAGCACCGCCGTACTTGACTGTGATTATAATGATATTATACACGATGAAACTACTCTGTCCATTAGTTTAGTCGACGGAGACCTGATAGAAGGACACAAGATTAAGGAAGGGGGAGAATATGCTCCGTCTAGCTGTAAACCGAAGTATAGCACAGCTATTATTGTCCCATACAGGTAAAATAAGTCTAAATCTATACTTTTAATTGAATTAACTAGTGATACCAGTAACAATAACAACAAATCTTTTTATACTTCAGGGATAAAGCTGAACAGTTACGTGGATTCCTAGTCTACATGCACACATACTTCCATCGTCAACATATCCACTACAGAATCTATGTTGTAGAACAAGTGGACTCCCGCCCCTTCAATAGAGCCAAGCTTATGAATATTGGGGCAGCAGCCGCCATGAAAGCAGGCTACCCTTGCCTCATACTACATGATGTAGACCTTCTGCCTCTGAGGCCGGCCAACTTATATGCTTGCACTGAAAGGCCTAGGCATATGTCGTCCAGCATCAATAAATTTAGGTGTGCTGTCATAGATCAAAATAATCTCAAATGTTTCGTTTTAAAATAGTTTACAATTTTGATTATTCTTTTTGGTTTTTCTTTTTTTAGTTGAGCACAAGGCTGACATGCATTGGATTGAAACATTACTTTCATACACTACTCAGTGAAACCATTTAGTTTGTTTCTTGTTTCTTTTACAAGGTATTTTCTTGTGTTACTTTTCTGCTACTTTTTTTAATTAACACTACTATTTTTATTTAACTTTCTTATACTTAAGTGTCTTACGTTTCAGATTCGTCCTACCATACTTAAACCTCTTTGGTGGTGCTATAGCAATTCTTTCAAAGCAATTTAAAACTGTAAATGGTATGAGCAATGAGTTCTATGGAGTGTCTGGTGAAGATGATGATTTATATTCTCGGTTAGAGGCAAATGACCTGAAAGTGTGCAGGTTCCAACCAGAAACAAGTCGCTACCATATGGTATCATCTAAGGCTGAGAGGAGGTTGTAAGTATTATTTCTTATTACTTTTAGTTTAGTAGGAAAATATTGGATGCAAAGTAGAAAGTGCGAAAGGTACAGTTTTTCCAATCATAAAATGGACATAGCACAGAGACTGAATGTGTTTCTATAACAATGTTATATTGCAGCTGCTGTTAACAAATGACAAGTAGGAGATAAATTTCTTCTTTGTGTCTTTATATAAGGTTGAAAATTTATTAAAGGATTACAGATTGGGGTGAATGTATGACATCTATACATAAATATTTTAAAAAATAATATATTTTGAAGAAAAATTTAATTATGGATTTTCAGGGAACAACGAAAAAAACAGTCAAGTTTTACTAAGGAAAGGATGGCAACAGATGGTCTAAACTCGTTAAAGTACACAGAGGTCGCCACTGTTCTTCATCCGCTGTTTACCCATATCATGGTTGACTTGTAGCATATCATTTGATACTACAATACTTACATCCATTTGATTAGGTATTTAAGAGTGGAAATTATTCTTACGACTAATAATACTATGGATCTATTGAAAAAATATAAGGTATAAAACATAAAAGGGATTTTACATTTAATTAAGTACCAAATCAAATGGAGCTGTCATATCACTTGTTCAATTTCGCTTTAATTAAATGAAATTTTAAGACCACTCTAAATTAAGTAGCAAGTTAGTAAGCTAGAATCTTAGAAAGTAATTCTCCAAAAATTTACAAACAACTTTCAACTTTAGCTTCATTAGAATAGAATCGAACAATACCTAGTTATGTTTAAAATAAAACTTTTACCTGTATGTGAAGAGAGACAGGCTTAGAAATGTCATTCCACTTGTCAATTAAATTAATAAATAAGAACTGGTGGTGTATTATGATGTCTTAAAGCCAGAATGGTTCTGCTGAGGGAACAAGGTCTCGCTAGACGACTTGTATAGCTCTGTTTCTTTCCCTCAATGACACCATTCTGACTTTAGGAAGTCATAATAACACCGCAGTATTTATTTTCGCTGACTTAAATTCTCATTGAATTTTAGTAAACTAACTATAAGGGGACAAGCCAATATTATCATATTAAACTACTGTCCGATATCATTGGATAAAATATTTGAGACATTTTAAAATTGGTGACCAACTTATTTATACTCTCTGTACTGATAGGGCCGTCTGCAACCCCAATGATAGTCAAAAAAAATACTACTCTAATACTTGATACTTAGAGGTTGCATTACTAAATCTGTCCTCATCGCATAATTAGACATAAGAAGACCAAAACTGCTATACCGCTAATGTTCCTATTGTCATTTCAATCTTATTAAAGCAATAATAAATAATAATGAAACATTGTGATATTCTTGTTGAGGGATTGAACGATTTCTGTCCATAGAATTCCGTTAGTTAATTATTCTAGTGCAATTACATCTACATAAGTCTTAACATGTTAAAAACTTTAAACTTTTAAAATTGTTGACTTGTATTTAAATTGTTTCTATGTATTAGCAATTGTTTCTAGTCGAAATGTGTTAAAATTACTACATAAGAGGAATGTGATCGTTAAGGAGACAAAAGAATAATTATATTGTCTGGGTTACATACTTTTCAATACTAGAATTAGTTTTAATTTGTTTCGATTTTCGCTGTTGAGTGTTGATGTCACTTGTCTGTGTCTCAGCATTAAAAATGTAAAAAGATCAATTATGAAATATAATGGTATAGTGAAAGAAACAATATTGTAAGTAACTATTGTAATGTAACGTCATATCACTGGGTAACAAAGGAATTGGGGTGGAAATAAAATAATTGAATAGAAAATGTAGGTAATCAGTAGACTGGTTAGTAGGTAGAGTACCTACGCAATGGTTTGTTGTGGTTTAAGAAAATTATTATCTATTAAATTTAATAGACAATTAATTAAGAATTACTGAAGTTCTTTTTGTAAGTACAATTTGTGTGTTGTCTAAATTATTTATCTACATAATGTTGATACAGAGTAGTTTATAAAATATATTATGAAATAAAAACTTAGCCGTCCGACAATAGAAAATACTAATTTATTCAAACAATGTACCTACTTATACATTTTGCAATAACTCGCAAAACCGAATTTTCGATTCAACTTGTACTCATTGACTTATTTTGTTCATTTTAGAATTAGCAGTAGCCTAATAGCAGAGCTAGTGCAATTGCTCAAAATCACGCGAGTAACTTCCTTACCTACCTATTTATAATCACTACAACACTTTGGTAGCGAATAAAACAGTTACAAGAAACTACTTGTTTTGTTATTTTTAACCTGATTAGGTATTTGTAAACTAATTGTAGAGGACTAGCAGTAGAAGTCTGTTTGTTGTAGTCGTAGCACTAGTGGTAGAATAATATTTTATGTTATAAATATGGGAATGTTAACTTAGATAGTAAAACAACAGTGTTTTGATTGATTTTTAGATATATTTGGCATGAACATTTTCACAGCAGGTGGTCCCAAATCACAAGGGGGGGAATCTAATAAAAATACATGGTTATATCTGTGGAATAAGTATTGGTAAAGTTTTGTCATAATATTTACAACATTAATTTATAAAATACTTATTTTTACCGACATTAAACATTGAATGTAATGTTTGTGGGAACTATACATAAGTATATTACATTACAATAACATTATTGTAGAAATTACATCAAGATATTTACATGAGAACAATTCTAGCCTGCCTATGTAACATCACCAATTTACAAAAACATATAATTTAAAACTACTTTCACATACCATAAAAATACATTGATAAAAGCCATTTAGCTTTAAAAGCAAGGTACACCTGAAGTTGTAATTTTTATGTAAAACGCAAACCCTATAGTTAGCACCTACCTAAAAGTTAAATCACAATGAATGTAGTTTTTGCACCATGCGCCTATCACAAATTAAGACTCAAACAAAGGAACCTAAAAATTACAAGAATATAGCACTCAATATTTAAAAATAATCACAATTTAAAATTATACTATTTCCATTTATTCGTCAGATTAAATATTTTAATATTCATAGTTTCACCACACCAATTAATTTTATTTTTAATTTTAGATTACTTGAAAGTAAAAAATAAACCTGATCAATTCAACCGCTTATTATTCACCCATGTATTACTATACTCTATGTGTTCACCAATGAGTATGGCAACACCTTTGTAATACAATATAAAATATGTTTTTCTAATAACCATCGTGAGACATACTAAATTAAGTAAAATTGCGGGTTACTCACGTGAATATACTGAGAAAAGCTCTACTAGTTTCGAACCACAGAGGGGTTCTTCCTCATGAGCAGCGAGCGCGGTAACCGCGACTCTCAGTTATTTTCTTAGTATATCACGTGAGTAACCCGCGATTTTACTTAATAATTAAATATTATAAAAACAACATAAAAAAATGCAAGCTGCACACAGAAAATGGTAATCCTACCAAATGCATAATTAATATTATGAAATTCGATTTTTTTATACCAATGTAGGTACTAAAATTAACATTGAATTTATTAATATTGTTCATTTAACCTACCAAGTATAGCAGGTACTCCTTCCTCAGCACTCTGACTTAAAACTTTTTTTCTAAGTCACAAACTAAATTCATGATATAAAAACCATTTTCTTTTTTTTTGTTGTCATGGTTTAAAATATTCTATATTCTGTCAGTATTGTTAAATTAAATATTACTGCCAACATCTTTTAAGAAACTACAGTTGAGGATCAGTTATAATATTGTACCTTATCTTTTGGGGCATTTCAGTAAAAATAAGTTATAAGACAACATGGTTAGTGTGGTGGCTGGGCACCAGCTGGGACGGAGCAAATCTTTGTGCGATCCACAAATTGTTGTTCCGGCTCTGTCGGTGTCATGTTTATGTGAACTTGTACGTTTGTAAACGCACCCACACGACACAGGAGGAAATCGTAGTGTGGGGCAACATTTTATAAAAAAAAAATGTAAAGAGCTCAATATTTTTTATTTACACAGTGTAATTAAAAAAATATATATTTAGGTAGTGAAAATGTTAGAGATCCCTTAAATCAGCTGAAGAATGCTCATTCCAAGGTGATTTAATTAATTCAGGTACCCTTTTTACCTTCAGAGCTGTATTTTAGACAGTTTTCCCAGTACAAGATAAACATATTTCTCAGCACAATACAAATTTTCATTTCAATCATAAGAGAATAACATGGCAATAATATTTAACAATACAGATACATTCACCACATAACTATGGCCGTAAAACAAGCATACATACAAGTCCAAGTACGAATGAGAATACCAGTTTAAGATTTGAGCCAATATGGAGCCAGTCCGGCCATTGTGATTTAACAAGTTCTTCTGGTTGAGTTGGTAGTAGGAGAGCGGCAATGCAACATATGCTAACTGCTACCGCTACTACGTTCACAGGCTGCTGTTCTCTGCAAAAGAAAATTGATCTTTGACTACAGTGCATAATGTCTCAATTGCAGCATCAGCCATCTGGAATCAACATGAGTAAAAAAATACATGTGGGGAAATATAGAACAAAGAAGTTCTACAATCCTTACATATTCCCCCCACAAAATCATTTTCTAATCCTTACTTTCATCCATTCTTTCAACATGTCCAGACTATCTTAGCATATTCTTCTTGATGAACAGTTATACTTAATATAAATTAAATTCATATTAACTGTCATCAATTAAAATAATCCAATATTAAGGTGCTGTTACACATGTACTAAAATAGCATGGTAAAAGGGGTTTTATAAGCATGCTCAAAAATTGAACTCCTATGTATGCAACATGCCTGAAATGAGCATCATAATTTTGATCAACATTCGTTGGAATGTTGTTGACACATGCTATTAAGTGATAAGTGCTGAATTTAAGCAGCTTTCGGGCATAATATTAGCATAATATGTAACACTTAACACTACCTTAAACTGTCAAACATCAAGCGGTCCTCGTACTCGACGAGTTAATTATAAAATTCAATATTGCATTGGATTAAAAAATACAAAACAAGAATTTTCTTTATAATTCAAGGCCATTTTATGTCATTATCATTGTTATCAATGTAAATGAACCATTTCCACTCATAATCAATCTAAAGGTAACATTATTTTAAAAAGATTACATATCTTTATTATCAGTAATCTCACATTATTTTGTTATTCATAACAAAAACAATTATTTACTTGTGATATCCACCAAGCCCACTTGAGGTTATTGTACTTTGATGTGCATGAACTAAACATTGAATAATTTATTATTACCACTTTTGTTTCTAGTAATTATATACCTACCAAACTACCAACTGAAATTATAATTATATGCATTGCATACTAAAGCTTAATTTTTACTGTGTAGCAACTAACTAGTTAAATTATATATTTATGTCTCATTTTTAATCAAACAAAACAAAAGTGTAAAAAAGCACCATGTAATTTTTTGACCATGTGACCATGGTACTCATGGTATTTTTTTTGGAGTTCAGTTTAGTTATTGTAGAAGCTACGGAATTAGTTGCTAATTTTAAATACTTATTCTTCAGCTAAGTAGGAAGTAATCAATCAAGTGAGAATCTATACAGATAAATAAAATTGGAGTATTTGTTTGTAATATTGAAATAACCGCTTTTTACTACATGCCTATGAATATATGATACAAAGTACACTTTTTGTCTGTCTGTCTGTCTGTACTGGTTAATCTATGTAATGACTGGACCGATTTTGACAGACCTTCTATTGGAAGTAGCTAATGTACTAAGTTATAACATATGCTATTTTTACTTTTTTTAAATGAAGATGAAGTTGCGGGTTCAGGTAGTATTTGAATAAAACTAATTTTATGTCAATCTTTAGATTGACATAAATTAATACAGTTTTATGATGTGGGAGTAATAGTAATTGTATAATTATAATACCACTGACCTGTGTGAAGGATGTGTGCAGGGTGCCACTCTGGAATGTTCCTCCGTAGGCCTCAATGGAGCCGGCCTCATTGTAAGAGGATGGAAATCATCTCCAAAACACTCTTGACTTATATTAGAAGGCTCTCCTTCTATCAATTTCGTCAAAATGTCTCTCCTACCTACTACCTGCAAATAAACGTACAAAACGCGTTTATTAAATAATCAAGAAGTCTTGAATCATTAATTTTTACAGACATTGATACAGCTGTGTTCATATCAAAATGTATAATAACCTTGCTTTCAAGGTATTAAAAAAAATCGAATGGAATTGATAAACATACCTGCTGTGTGTTTTTGTCAAACATAGTCAACCGAAATTTTTCGAGAGAGTCAGACTGTGTCTGAGACGTTGGGGTATATCGCACTACGATGTCGATGCAGCTCTGTGGAGCGATCACTCCTTCTGGGTCTATGACCGTAAACTTCTTCGGTGAGGTACAAAGTACTGAAAAAACAAAAATCACTATCAAACAAAAACTCTACGAGACAAATTACGACACGTTTCATTTCTTTCAATATGTACCTTTCAAATTAACAGGAAATTCATAAGGATTGTATACAGTTAGTAATTGTTTGTGCGTGTGTCTTGCATTTGAGTAAAATTCCAATGATATTGGAAATACGAAAATGGGCAAATTTTTCATATTTAATAATATTTTGCTAACACAATAGAAAAACAATAACAATTTCACGCGAGCACATACACAACTGACAATGACATGACTTAGTGTTGACAGTTTTCAATGCTAAAATAATGCTTAAATTGCCATAAAAGAAAAAAAAGAAAAAATTCTAGATCAAAATATAATCATTCAGATTATTTCCTACAATAATCGGTGTAAATTGACGATATATTTGAGTATAATTATTTTTTAACGTTGTCTCCGTTATTGGTTCTGTATTTTTTATTATCTGATAATCCTGACACGTCTTCACGAAATTTAGGGAAGCTTCTTTTATACGAAATGTATACCTATGACCCTGAAGATATATTACGTTACATGTTATGTACATAGAATTATGGCAGTTTTGGATTATTATTCGATTAATTTAAATATGTTGTGAATATTTTTCACATTCAAAATGGTGGTTTTCTCGTGATTATATTTTATTACCGATTATTGTCAATTGTCGAAATAATAAGAAGCGAGCGAGATAATTGCCTAGCTCGCCCATCCTTAACTTCTAGGTGTATCTAATTGTCTGTGCTACATCGTCTATTTTGTACTTATTGCTATTTAGGTACTAGTTGGGTGAATTTTATCACTATGGTAGGTAAGATGCCATGGCCGTGGTCGAAGAACAAGTTCTAAACATAATGCTCAGCGACGCCGAAGTTGCCTTTCGGGAAGAGTCCCATGGCATTTAATAGCGGATTAACTATTTACTACACACTACTTGACTGAACGGTTGGTGCGGTGGCTAGGGAACCGTTTGCGGCGCAACGTGAAGCGGGTTCGATTCCCGCACGGAGCAACTCTGTGTGGTTCACAAATTGTTGTTTCGGGTCTGGGCGTGAACTTGTATGTTTGTAAACGTACCCACGACACAGGAGAAAATCCTAGTGCGGGACAACCTTTATTTACAAAAAAAAATTAAGTATATTTACAGATTCTGTATTAATATTGGAGTAATAAAATGTCTAACTTTGCAGACGACCATTCGACCAATGAGGTAATCAGTTGCCATTAATAACTAGCTTCTGCGGTTTCGCCCGTGTTCCCAGAGGCAAAAAGTAGAAAGTAGTAGACAGACAAAATAACATCCCCCATTATTTATGTTCAATGTACAGAATTAACACTTCTAGTTTTATTATATGTATAGATAATCATCTATACTTTTTCAGAGATTGATCTTAATTTTAAAATTCAAAACAAACAATGGTTCCGGTTTATTTATTTTCTCAATTACAATTTGTATTGAAAATTTTATATACATTCAGATTCAGTGATTACTATGAACAGAAGAAAATATTATGTGAAATAATTATTACAAACAGCAAAATATAAGTTACAAAAGGGTATCAACTGTCCAGAAGTTATTCTAGCACCTGTTACAAGTAAAAAACTAATTTCTAAACATAAATACTTTACAATAACTACAATTATAAGAACCTGAGTACTTATTAATTTTATATTTTAGGAACAGTCGACCACTTAGCTTTGTAGATGCCAATTTTAATGCAGCAAACTTGTTTGTCACATTTTTTATTATTGTCCCACATTTAGTGAGCAAGGGCAATGTTTAATCGATATTTATTTTTATAGAACAGAAGCCAATTTGCTCTAGCATCTCTGATTTTTAATGGTGGAATATTAAAAAAGTATCTTATAAATTGATGTGATAATAGTAAGTTAACGTAAAAAATCAGCTACAAATAAAGAACGAATTCAACTTAAAAGACACTATAATCGATTTAACTTGTTATCGGGGTGTACAAATAAAAGTACAGATTCAGATTATGTCCCAACTCTATTGGTTCTTTAATTATCTATTCCGCCTATATCACTTTTTATTTTCGACGTACATGTACAAGGTCAAACAATGGCCAACCATTGCACACATAGCTTTAAATACGGCGCGCTTAAAATACGCTTTTGGTTAAAAAATGCGGCTTATTCACGTGCAATTTTTGAGAAATATTCGTATTTCGTACTGCTCAGCTATGTATGAGTTCCGGTTCAAATCAGTTAGTTTTGATCCGAGAAATTACCCAATTCCATTCATCCCGTTTTAGGGTAGTTCACGTTTTAAGCCGTATTTTTTTTTCAATTAATTTAGTACTTATGTCTCACGATATTTATTACACAAAATAGCTCTATTTTTAAGTTAAATATTGAGATTTACTGGTAGGGATACAACATGGCGACAGCAGGGTCTTCAGTCTCGAATGTAATGAGGACATCTTTGAATTTGTCCAGAAGTTGCATCAGCTGCGAGCGGCTTACGTTCTCCATAAACATAATCTCTTCTAAATGCTGCTCGCCGCGGAAGTAACCTGAAATAACCAAATTAAAATGGTATCAAATGAGAATAACTTTAGAGAAGCTCTTCCATTACCTACTCTACATTGTGATATAATAATTACAGAGTGATGCTGACAGACTTTCATAATCGATATACTGATCCAAATTTAATAAAGGTAGTGTTAGAGTGCGGTTAGACATATTATTGGCTGTTACCATTCCTCAATTGCATAAAAAACGATAAAATCGCATGCCTATCTCCTGGATGATCGATATTAAAGACTGCCTCGTTGGCCGAGTGGTCGCCAGTGCGACTGCCGGGCAAGGGGTCTCGGGTACGAATCCCGAGTCGGGCAAAGTATTACTGGCTTTTCTCAGTGGTAGTACGGAGTATTGAACTGTGCCCGGTATAACATAAATAGTGAAAAGTAGGCGTTGTATTGTACAGTGCCGTAATGTGCACCTCTGCTTACTCTTTCATGGATAAAAGGCGTGTTATAAACCAGTTACATTTTTGCTAAAACATACCTTTCTTATGCAGTTGTGCTAGAAGCAACAGATCGTCAGTGTTTTTAGAAGCTGGTACCGTCGCCAAAGCGGCTCGTTCCTCGGCAGTGAACGTGTCTAGCAGTGACTCGGTCGTTGGCGGCTCGTTGGGGATGCGACATGCATCGATGACGTCACAACTTGCCGGAACATTCCACACCGTCGGCGGTTGAAAGCTGAAATCCATACTGGTTAATGTTAGTATTTTTTACTAAATTGTTTTTTTTTTGTTTTTGTTGTGTATGAAATGGCTTTCTTTAACTAGGTATTGTGGTTTTAGTTGGGGGACATTTTTGCAGAGTTTTGTAGATTCCTGTCTTAAATTAAGATTACATTAAAATGTAGAAAGTTTACTAGTACTCCCAAACTGAGATGGGATAACTCCCGTAAATTACTGACACAGATAGCTTTTAAATCTAGTTTGGGACATACTTTAATGAAGACTAAAAATTGTAAAAATGTATTTACCTCATTTCACTTTGTAATTTCAAATTCAAAGACACGCCATTTTTCTTTTCGCCGCCGTTTATTATTCCATTCATTTTGATTCGCGGCGATATATCCTGGTCGCTCTCGAATTTATCTTCATCACTACTCGTATCCTTGTTCAAAGTAGTTTCACTATCTTTCAAGGAGATATCAGATAAACGTGAAGGGAGGCTCTTTTTATCCGAATCAGTTTTATCGATGGACAATTCGGTTTTAACGATATCCGTGTGACCATTTTCTATAATTTCTCCATTCCCATTATGATTGTTAGTTCCATTCATATTGCTTGAAATGCCGCTGTCTACTGAGTTTCCTTGTATTTTCTTCTGGACTTTATCGACTTTGTTTTCATAGTCACAACCGTTGGTTGGTTTGATGCCGTCGACGACGTCGATGCCGTCATCGAAGGAGTGATTCGCGGAGTCTGTTTCCCGGAATTTATCATATTTGGTATGTTCAGATTCTATGACTATTGGCTTTGTGTGTGAGAAGTCTGTTTGGTTGAGGTTATTCTCCGTCGGGTAGTCCTCGTCGGAGTCTGGGAAAGTGTTGATGGTTTCTCTGGGTTCCACTGGTTCTGGGACGTTGAGTTGCATTTGGTTGAGAGAGGAGAATGACACGCTGCACGACTGGTTGAATATATCGTGTTTTTCGCAGTAATATTCTTTGCCATCTGTGGATGAATGAGAAGATGTTACTCAGCTAGGATAGTGTCATTTAGTTAATCATTATGTCTTAAATAATTTGGTAACCCTGATTTACCTTGTAACAACATTCAATGATTAGATCTATATCCATTTCTCTCACTAAACTAAATGGCTTTTATTCTAAAAACAACTCTTTTGCATTAATATTACCTATACGTGTCCATGGCTCAATGCGGTGAGATGACAGATGAAGCCAACCTAGGTGGGTAAAGTTTCAAAGGAAATGAAGCTGTATTATGTAAGTAATAAGGTTTGTTTACCGGGGTCCCGTCCCCAGTGCGGCGAGTTGAACTGTACATAGGTATGTAGCTGCAGCAGCAGCCTGCGGCGCAGCAGCCAGGCGACGCAGCGCGCGAGGCGGCCGCCGCCGCCGCCGCCGCCCGACCCGTTGCGGGACACGTACCACAACGGGGCCGGGAGAGAGAATTCGCTTAGCATCTGATAATAAAATTACATAACATCACGCCTTTTATCCCCGAAGACTAGGCAGAGGTGCACATTATGCCACTGTACAATGAAAC